AAAGAAATGGTAACTATATATACATTGAAACTAACTGTTATTGCTTTTTACTGATAAATAGTAAATAATAATTTACTGTATAAAAATTGTGTCCATTATTTTTATCTATTTTTATATTATTTAATAAATGAATAATTAGTACTTGTCATATGCTGTCTGTTTGAGACGAGTTAAATATTAATGTAATAGATTATTTGTATGATTTATTATATTTTCATAAGGAATTCAAATACAATTCTATGCAAAGAAGGACTTACATTTTTTAATTTAGTACTGGAGTATTAGTAACGGAGTATAGTATTAATTAATAGAGTATGCTAATGACAGTTTGGATAAGAGAAATTTCACCGTATTCAAGCATTACTAATTATAAGCAGATAATTGGAAATAAATTATGGAAAAAAATAATGTAACTTGAAAAAAAATTATTTATAAATTCTTCATTAATCTCTTTTATTAACGGTAAACCCAGTCTCATGTTTTTTATTGGAAATGTATGTGTCATTATGAGTTCACCGTAGCCAACTACTACCCAAGTTTGCTGATTTAAATGTCAGCTCTATCTCATTTTATTACACGTGGCTTGTAATGAATAGTGGTAAAATCCAAATGTGATACCGTATCTGCTCTTAGTATTCTGAGAATAATAAGCATGAACCCAATGTCCATTCCAAACTCGTTGCCCACGTTGCTTCTGATAAAGTGTCTACACTTCCGAATTCACAGACTGTAAGCTCACAAATTGCCCGTGACTGGTTGCGTAAATCATCTCGATATTTATGTAAATACTCTAATTATAGATGCCGAAATTCGGTAACTTTCTTAAAGCCCTCTTCGAATAGTCTGCATTAAACATTTTTGTCTCAACTCTTTATCAAATATGACACTTTTGACGTTGAAATATGAAATGTTATCGATTAATCTAATTCATAATTGAATGAAGATGGTACTATCGATTCCATAGATATAATGATGACATTTCTTAACACGGTATTATAAAACACAAAAATACTTTACTGTTATAGGAGTTACAAACAACTGAAAATTGAGTGTATTCATTAAAATAATAAAATTTTTTTAAATTCATTAAAATACTACTTGAATTTCTTATTTTATATTTAACTAAATATATTTATGGAAAGTAAGGAACATTAAATTGTAAGTAATACTTAAGTTCTTTAAGTTTTTAATCCTGCACTGCTTAAATACAACACAATGCAGGAAAGAAATGAAAAATAAATTCTTTAATTATAATATTTAAGGTACCAAAAATAGAATACACACTAAGTAAATTAAAAATAGCAATAGATAGCAGTTAAACATTGACCACATTATAAAGGGGCCATTGGAACAGTGTTATGATCCAAAGGTAATTGAATCCACGAGAAAACATAGTGTAAAAAAAATGTTGAACCTTCATTTTCAAACAAAAATATGTTAAAAATTCAAGTGAAATGTGTCTAGTTATATTAGCAATGAATAGAAAAAATGATGTTTAATTATAATACATATATTGAATACACTAAAAAAATATAACAGCACAAAAACATATTATTTAAAAGTTCATTACAATCGAGGAAAGAAAACATGTATAAGTAATAATATATGAATATATAAATATATAAATATATAAATATGTAAATATATCAAAGATTTTGTAAACAAATCCAAACGAAAACTGATGTGTACAAACACTGCCCAATAGTTTCTTCACTCACCGAAATAGTAGCGACGTTTCTCCGGTCTCGGGATTTCTGATGATTCATCGATTTATGACATTGTGTATCATCAAATAAATACAGAAGGGCGCGGGTTTGTCAGTTTTCAGCATTCCTTCTTACCGAACATGCACGCGTGCGCGCGCGCTGGCCGCTTGTAATTTCATCGGTAGCTTACAAAGGAAGATAAACTGCCGCATCATTCCGCCCATTCATTCGTTTTAGATGTTTCGGTATTCTTGTTTTCGCGCGCGTGCGCGCGCGGTCATGATATAACGCTAAAGTAAATTGCACACTCTATTCTCGGTGTAGGCCACATATCCCGAATACACAGGCAAACGCTATTTTCTGACGCGCGCGTGAACACGTCCATGCACAAGAGGCGCAAGGCGGGACGAGCAAAAAATCTGGCCGTGATAATGCAGCGGCAATTCTCAGTTGAGGGATTCGCGGAGTGCAGCTTACCCTTGCAATTTTCGCGGGAAATGAATTATCGAAGTGCTACAGGAATGGGTAGTTCCTTTTTTTTTCTTATTCCAGCACCGTTAGATGCATTATACATAATAGTGTAATGGAAATGGCGTTTGGTTCATTGAAATGTTGACTTTCGTTTTTGAGATTAGAAATTTTAGTTTCTATTAATGGTATCATTTATGCTGTGGACTTTGATGCAAACTCCCGTTTTCTTAGGTTGGTTCCAAAACATCGAGAGATTTATTGATTATAAATTGTTTTCTAATAGTGTAAGAGAAAAATATGATTTATTTTTGTTAATGCGAAAATTTACTTGTACTTTAGAAATTCATATATGGCAGTAATCAATAGAGATTCGTGATTTATATATATAAAAATAAATCACATTTTTCTCTTACTCTATCAGAAAACAATTTATAATTAATAAATCTCTCGATTTTTATATATATATATAAAAATATATATATACATACACGAATGCTTCATTGCGAAATCTACATTTTTCTATTTTTTGAGGGGTTTTTCGTTTTTCATGCTAACAATTTGAAACAAAAAAATTTCAAAAGATTCTCAGCCATGTACTGCTTTATCAAAAATGTCTCCGAATTATTTTACAATTTTTATTTACCATTAAATAGGAAATATGAGACAAAAATTGATAATTCGAATTTACCCTATAATTACCCTTCTAGTTGAGATAGAGGGCTGAAAATTGGTATACAATGTTTTTTATGAATAAGGTATCGAAATAAACTTTCGCGAGAAAAATTGGTCTAAGGGCATTTTTAACCTCCTTATCCTACTACATATATCCTTTATTTGAAACTTATATTTCTCCAAATTTGTATGTGTTCTAATTGTTTGGTAATAAATAACAATTTCTTAAGCTTCTTATTAAGGTTTGCATTTTATTATATTTATGCACACCTGCACACTATAAGTATGTAAAGTCCCATAGTACAGTGATAATTCTGGATTTCATGACATGGTTAACCTTTTGCGTTGGAAAGTCGAATAGTACACAGCAGAATATTTTATTTCTGATACTTGCATGTTGAACTACATACAGTCGACAGGAACAGTTCCGATATTTCAGTTATGTGCTTAATATACGTGTATATAAAATAATGTTCGTATCGGTACATGAGGTCACCGATTGGATGATTCTACTTGTATACATCATCAGTCAGCGACTCAGATTTATGAAGAAAGTTGCATTCCCTGTTAGACTGTTTTCTAATCAATTAATGTTTATATTTTCAGAACAACATTTCTTGTAAAATTCTAAACAGTAAATTCCTTCTTACTACTTCATATTTAACAAGTAGATAGAATTGAAAACATAAATGCCCTTTCAAATGATAATTAAATTTGTTATGGAAATGTACTTATAAATATAATTAACGTTTTATTAGAATTTATTGATGCAGAATGATCAAGGAAAGATAGACTTTAAGAAGGATTGAAAATGAAATGTTGTATGTCTACAAGCAAATATTGGAAAATATCATATAGTTCAATATTAAAGAAAAATACTGATTAATGACTATATTTTTGAAGAATAAGTTATTAGCTTATTAAGTGAGTGCGGAAATCTGTTACTTCACAATAATACCTTTTATTTTATACACATCTGTATAAAAACATAGTGCATTAATAACAAAGGGCACTATGCAGAAATAAAAGAAATTGCAAAATGAAAATGGAACGTTTTATCAAATATCTATAAGGTCATTGGTGATTTTTGCAAGATAGCATATCAATTTTTCTTGAAATGACTCCAAACATAAGAAAAATAATCAATTTTCAGAGGAGTGTTAGAATGTTGCATGAAGTTGCTGTTTACGTTATAAATATTTAAAATACTGTTCATTGACAGTAAGATATTCTGCGGCAGCGCAATGCTGAATACATTGAGTTATGTTCAGCAACATATGGATACGATCCAGATCTGTTTCATGGTTGATTGCAAAGAGAATACTAGTCGGTGAGCATCTCACGATAGCTTATTATCACTGGCAAGGCAAGGGAGGATTGAACTGAATTTTATTTATGGTGAAGTTGCACGATGCTTAAAAGAAGCTGCACAGAACGATTTCCTGACCGCAACTGTCTTATAATAAAGTAATTAAAAAAGTTTCGCCAAACCGGTTGCGTTGAGAACAGAAAACCTGTGTGATCTAAAACTATTACGCATGAAGCAAATGTAAAGACTGTTGCTGTTGTTGATCGAAGCTTATTCATTGTTTAGGACAATTGGAGAGAGAAGAACTTGACAGCAATCAATCCATCACACACTGTAAGTAATGATGTGAAATTTCATTCCTTTCATGTTATTTTATCAGAAAGTGATAAATCGGATACCCACAAAATTGCCGCTTTGTGTAAGAATTTCTTATATGTCATCTTCTTTCCGTTCAATGTTGTGTACGTTTTAAATGAAGTAAAAAGCGCACAATTGATTAAAAACATTACAACTCGTTTGGTCTACTTCTTAGTTTTTCTAAAAATAGAGTAGTACGACAGATATTGATCTGCGCGATCTACCCCCTTCATATACTTGTTGTAATCAATTATCGACTCAGGCTTTTGAATTGATATATGTGATCTTCTATTTACACTTCCAGATTCCATTATTCGCGCAGAATATATCGTCGATATCATATTTACATTTCGTTTACCGTTATTCCATATTTGTAACAGAATATCGTGTTTTCTACGAAATGTAGCTTGACCATTTGAAAGGGTTATTTTTTGAAGACATTGAGGAAGACCTCTATTTTTCCGAATAGTCCCACATATCCGTACTTTATTTTGCAGGAGAACATCAGCCATATGGACACTGTTATAATAATTGTCCTGATAAATGTGATGCCAAATATTTTTATAAGGATCAATAACTTCTAGAATAGTGTTTTCCAATTTCATTCCTTGGGAAGCATACACTTCAAAATTACAAATGTATTCCGTATGAGCTTCACAGACTGCTCTCACAAGTATGCCGTACTTTATACATAAGACATTAGAATAATACATTCATCTAATGATAATTGTTGATAAGGTTTATATACATCAATAAATCTATTCTTTAAATAATTCATAACTGGCTGAACTTTTACAAGTCTGTTTGAATTTGTGGGTATATCTTCATTATTACAAAAGTGCCAGCTCTGCAGTATCTGCATAAATCTGCTTCTGCTCATTACTTTCGAAAAAAACGGAGTTTCGATGCTTGGCTCAGTTGACCAGTAATCGTGAAGTTTCTCTTTTTTTACTTGTCCCATTAGAACAATTAGACCTAAAAAATTTTTCATTTCTGGCAACGTAATATCCACCCATTTCTTCGTCCTTGAGATATTTTTATATTTATTGATTACTTGATAGTGATATCTATTCGATTCTTTAACCAAATGTTCCAAAAGGTCATCTCCAATAAATAAATTCACTATGTCCATTACACTTTCTTCAGATTTTGGTAGAATTTTTATACCTGGGCTGCCTTCGAAAGGTTCCAAAATAATTGATTTGTCATTTGTTGACCATGTATCGATGTTTACTTCAGCGGTGTCATCATTATCACTTTCTGAATCGCTATATTGCAGTGGCAATAATTTCCGCGGCTTTCGAGTGTTTATAGAAGAATCACTACTATCACCATCACTGTCACTTTCTGAATAACTGTTATAGTCTGACAAAGTATCTAAGCAAAACTTTTCATCTGCACTGTCTTTATCCATTAGAAACGGTAAAAAAATATTATAATTGATAAAGATATGGAGAGGTTAGTATACAGCTACTGCGAAAACAGTAAATCCCACTGTATGGGCGGCAAATAATCAACGACGTTGATACTGCGTAATTATAAAAACAACAACAACAACCCACTGTACGAAAACCGTCGATAGCTAAAAGCCGATTAATAGGCTAGCGGTCGATAAAGTGTTAAGTATAATAATTGATTGCAGAAGAATAACATTTACTTTGAATTCGAATGAATCGAGTAATATTAATGTTGCTAAAACCATATTGAAAATCTTCACAACTAGTCTGACACGTTATTATAAGGCAAAGAGTTAATCATCAGAATTCATCGGTGTCCACGTGAATCCATTACCGATCCATTACTGATTATCGCTACTCGCATCAATTTTAATCATTGCTTTGATTAATAAAAACAGTTCCCCGACCTGCGGTGACCGCGAGCGATTCTTCAGAAGCTGCTAGACGCAAGAATTCTAATAAAGACAAGTGTCGCCCTTTCTTAAGTGAAACTCTTCGGAGGCTGAGAAACGAGTCTCGAGGACGCAAAGAGGGGCACTTCATGCCTTACCGGCTCCAGGAACCGTCTGTCCGGTAAACTTTCTTGTTGCTGCACCTTCGTGCACCCCATTTACGGTCCTCGCAAGATAGCGCACAATGCCAATTTATTAGTGGTGCCCCTTAGCCTCGCCGGCAAGCAGGGACTTACGGTCTCCCATTGCACCCATAAAGGGACGAACGACACCTTGGCTCGTGAGAAACGCAACGGGACGGTCACTTCGTCTATCTTGCTTTGAACTTTCGAAAATTTCTGATTCTCGGTGTATAATATGCTGTTTAAAATTCAAAGCGGAAACTTCAATTTTAATTTCTGTAGTAAGCTTGGATATATTTGTAATATGCATCAATGAATAAACCGAAGTAAGAGATATTTATCACTAGAAATACCGTACCCGTCAAAATGTTTGGTTTTAGTTTTCTTATTCTATTGAAAATAAATAGTTTCACTTGATTACTATAACGAATGTTTTGAGAAATTGAAAAAAATGTATTGTTTCAATTTTTATAAGGATTATATATTAACTCCAATAAATGCTGGATAGTTCTAGTGTTAAATCATTTCTAATGCTGTTTTCGTTTTACTTCTTGTTAATCCTTTGTCATATAATATCTTGTCACACTCGCGAGGAAGAATTTAAACAGGAGTTAATAAAAATAAATCTCATTCAATTTTTTCAGTTCGAATTAAATGTTATTTTTCTGTCACGAATTGTTTATTAATTTGTTTTAAAGTAAATATGGATAAAGGTGAACGTGCTATTCTATTTTGTTTCAAATAAATCATTAATATTAAAGTAATTGTATCGGGCGCAGTTATGAAACAAAAACAGAAGGCAAAGGGTTAAATGAAATATTATAAATCTAGGAAATATTATTTTATTAGATTCGCATTTTTTAAATCGACGTAAATAAAAATTTATTTGTAAAATGTTTGAGTGATAGAAGATATCTTCGAGATCTTTTCTAATATACGTATTTTACAAAAAAATATATATATCACAGAAAAATAGAATTTCTTGCCTCTTTTAAATTTCGTAAACTTATCTTTTATTATATTATTTCAGCACTTCTTTGTTTCAACGTGTACAATTATTTTGAATGTACTTAATTCATTCAAGACCGGAAAAAATAGCAAACATCATTTGAGATTCGAGGAAAATGCATCTTGTAAGAAGAAAATAATATTTATTCTATTTAAGGTAACGTACTAATAACTAACGAATTAAGCCTATGAGGGCATATAGGGCATATACATTAAGTATTAAATATTAAATATTAAATATTAAATATTAAATATTAAATATTAAATATTAAATATTAAATATTAAATATATAATCCGATTTATGTAGTTAATTATTAGTACATTTACCTTAACTGTCACTCCAAAACCTTAGTCAGCATTTTCAAGCGAAAAGGATTGCGCTCTCAAGCAACCCTTTGGTCGACCGGCTCGTTACGGGACGGTACAAATAGTAGCAGTGGTAAACGATTGTACGGCACTTATTGTTGGCAACACGCGTGAAGTAGCGGAACGTTCACGTGAAACCGAGTGGACACGCGTTCCGCGCCGTGCAGGTACATGCTTTACGAGCGAAGGTGTTGCTCCTTGAGATCCTGTCGCGGATAACAACGCGACGTGAGATCTGTTTACGATACAAGCCTTTCTAGTTCTTCTGCCGCCCTTCGCTTCCTCGCTTCTTCATTGCGCCGCTGCGGTCAACAGCGTCTAAGGGATGTTGTATTTAATGCTGCGTACATCGTTGGAAACAACGTTGCAGTACAATGTCAACTATATATGTTGGTTATATTTATTGGGAAACATAACTAAGTAGTATACACGTTTTTAAACCCTTGACTTACAATATCGTGTCAGACTCTCGACGAAAATTTTAAACTGCATTTCACAAACCTAACTGTTATTTATTTGTGTAAAATATAAATTAAATATTATTTTTCTATTATCAGTTGTTAACTTTTTGAATAAATACAGATATAGAATAAGCACAAAAATTGTTTCTTTTAGTAATAAATTGTTAATAACAAAGTAGTTGTATCATAGTTAAGAAATAAATCATAGGACAAAGGGTTATATGATGGATTGTTTATTTTATCCTCTCGCCCAATAACGGGAAACAATAAAGAAACTAATTTAAAATGTGATGTTCTGTGGTAATGACTGTAAGCAATAACTTTTGTTATTCTAGGGATATCATCAAAGTATTGTACATTTTTTCACTAATATTTTCGCATCTGTTAATTTCATAACAAAGAGAGTAGTATTTAATTGATACTATATGGTCCTTAATACCTTTTGAATCTTTCGTAGTATTCGATAAATCTCTCCTAGTCAACAATTAATAATTCAGTACAGAGTAAGATTATTTGTCAGATAGTATTTTTCGATAATAATCTAAAAATCATGCATTGCTATTTTTTCAACAAATTTTGTATGAGCAAAAATAAAGTAAGGAATTCACTAATCTGTTGCTACCTGCTAACAACTTCAAATGAAAATAAAAATATAAACGCGATATAGTGCATATTATAATAAATGTTATAGTACAATGATTATAAGAATCTTTCAATAAATAATTAACGAAACCTAAAATTATCAATACGTATTGTTGAAGATTCTTAATGAGCTGCAAAGATCAAAAGAGATTTAACACATTGTTGACTGGGTATTTTATGCAGAAATTATTCATGTCACCGGTTAGTATTCCGTAATTAAACAATGAAACAAAGTAAAGCAATCTAAATAAACTTCAATATACTTTATTTTTACAGCATGAATTGAAATGGAACTTCGGTCATATTTTTTATATAACTATTAATATACTTTAATATTTTTCTTTTGAAATATTCTGTATTACCTTGCATATTGTTGGGTTTATTAAATAATAACATTTCTTTATTTATTAAATAGAATACAAATCTTATTACAACAGGACTATTAACATGAAGGACAAAACAAACAAACCACAAATAACAAACTCGTTACCCAGAACAACAAACCGTACGTCGATATGTATGTATATATTATATATATGTGCTATACTTTTCTAACACATATGTAGGTTCAAAAATTGAAATGCCTAATACAAGTGCAAACACGAGTTAATTAGTGACCGGTCAACAATGTATTAATTGCCCGCGGCGGTTAATTAATCAATAAACATGAAATCTTACACCCTTAAAGAGTGAGGCAATATATTATATGTAAAAAAACTGATACAGCGGCAACTAATTAATGAAGATTATAAATTACGATGACGAATAAAAAGGAGACAACTGCCAACGATTTAGCACACCGCAAGATCTCGTAACCTTATACATATTCAACCAGAAATCCCGGCCGACGTCGTCGAATCTGACGTCCAGCCGACATGAGCCTCATAATCGGATTATGTCGTCTCGTGTTACCTTAAATCCATCTTGCAATTAATACGTCCACCTTCTATTTGGTAACACGATACCGTTCTAAGTCCGGTTGTTTCACGGGTGTACACGGATACGTGGGTTCACTGGATTGAAACATGGTAGTCTGTGATATGCCGTCCCATCAAAATAAAGCGTGTAACATGCAAACCGTGTATAATGATTGATTCAATAATGATAGTCGCAATTAAAACAACTTACTACTCTTCTGTATAGGGTTGATACAATAGTTTTGACCTTTTTAGTTTTTAGATTTAGTTTAGTAGCTCAACTGTTTGCTGGGCTAAACCAAATCTAGGTAAAAACGAAGAAGTGTCCTTTTTGCACGTTATAATAATATCAACACAGCTGTTATTTCTGTCAAAGAAAACAATTGTATTGTTAACTATGTACAAAATACATCAATCTAAATATACTTCTTTTAATTAAAATCTATTAAATTACTTAATATAAACAAATAATTTAATATAATCAAATAAAAATCTATCAAAAGTATATATCGTTACATTAATTTTATAATTATTATAGAAAAAGTCGAAAAGTCAGTGAAACAGAAATGATTGAAGTTCGAGAATAATTTTAAATTATACTTTTAAAAGGTGTATTTTAATACTTTTGGTAAAAATAGTGTTAAAATATTAAAATACTATTAAAGGACTATGTTAAAGCAGGGAAAATCATAAATAAGTTATTAGTAAATAATAAATTTTAAGCAATAATTACTCAACATTTATAGGGAAATATTATCCTTTAATAA